GAAGGAATAGGACCAGTTAAAAGGTTGTTGTCTAGGTAAAGTTCAACCAAGCTAGAGAGATTTCCCATTTCTGGGGGAATGGAACCAGAGAAGGAACTGCTAGAGAGAGATAACCAAGCCAGATTGGTCAAGTTGCCTAGAGATGCAGGTATGGGACCCTCTAAGTTGTTGGTGTACATATCAAGCTCCTTAAGAGACTTCAGCTGACCTATTTCTTGAGGAAATGAGCCGTTGAAATGATTCTCAGCAAGGTGGAGGATCTCAAGATGCTGTAGTAGGCCAATTTCTGGTGGGATTGTCCCAAAAAATTGATTGGTGGAAAAATCAAGATAGACAAGCTTGGAAAGGTAACTAATTTGAGGTGGAATAACCCCAGACATATTGTTGATACAGAAATCAACATGTGTGAGGTCAGGGAGAGACATAAAAGGAAACTCATCAAGCGTACCTGATATACCAGAAACACTAAGATTCATTCTAGCAACACTTCCTTGGGCATTGCAAGAAACTCCAAACCAGGTGCAGGGCCCGGTACTTGGTTTGGAGTTGGTTGCATTGTGCGGAAGCACAGTCCACGTAGATAGTACAGACTGACTTTTATTTTGGAGGCTGGATTTCCATTTGAGAAGAGCATTTGCTTCTTCACTAGAGGCAGAAGCAAGGGGAAGTGAAGAATGTAAAGAAGCAAGGAAAACAAGGAAAACAAGGGAGGTTACCCTGTTGCAGGTGTGGATTCCCATGATATCTGTTTGCTATATTGCACAAAGCAGAGGATGCTTAAACCTCTATTTATACAGGTTAAAACCCAGCTACTGTTTTGAAAGCACCACAGAACTGTACTTCTTGAGTCAGGGTGAGAAGTACCATCGAACATTCCTCCAGCGAGTGGAAGACTTTGCCGTAAGTGAAACTCCTTGGATATTTCTGCAGAGACAATAAGTAGCTACATGACAAGTTACTTTTGAGTCAACTTCTCTAACCCCTTTATTTGGGCTTGGAGTCGATTTGCCGTGAGTGAGGCTCTTTCACATTTTTTGGCGGAAACAATAAGGAGAAAGATCAGTGTTACTTTTCAGTCAACTTGTCTAACCCCTTCTTCGGGGCAAAGTCGTTGCCCCTTTGGAGCCTGACTCGTTTTTTCTATAAAGGTCTTGACCGCACAATTTATTTTGGAGAAGGACGCAGGAATTAAAATAGATGACTTCTTCATTCACACATTATAGTTTTGATCTTTTACATTTTAACTTCTCTATTGACCGGGAAGTAGCAGGGGAAGCTGGCGTGAGCCCACCATCTTAAAACACCCACTGTCTGAAAAGGGATTTCTTCTTTATAAGAACACTTCAAAGAGGTTTAGGAAACGAAGTTTTTCAACTGTGATTTTCCAAATCAAGGAAATTTATACTAATTATAAAACAATGAAATTTATTCATTTAAGAGCCTAAAAAAGAGTACAGAGCAAAGATCTTGAATAAATACTAGCGAGCTTGTCACAAAAATACATCATCAACAATGCAATTTGTTTCTCAAGTAACAAGCATGAAGCAGAAAATATCAACTGATAAACAATAGAACGGATACATTTTTAGCAGAGTAATTTCAACAGAGAAACTTAAACCTAAATAAACACTAATTGCGGCCAACTCTATAACTCAATAGTTTGCTGATAATAAGCATTACTTCAATATTTCTTCTGCATTACAGAACCAGGTAAGTCCAACTCACTCGGATGTGATGCTTTAAGGGCATGGCATTTAGCCATCATTCCTACAAAACGGAGAATGCCAGTATGAAAGGATTAGCACAATTTTTGGAACGTGTTAATTATAGGTCAAAATCTGGTACAGCTACTCACATCACCATAGGACCTATAAGGAGACATGGTGAAACACTTCTTGGTCTAGGAGAATCATTGATACCAGGTGTCCTGCATGGAGATTGGCTCCTAGGGTTTGGGCTATGGTGAGGTGGAGAGACATTTTAACCACCCGCTATGAAAAAAATAGGTGATGAAAGAAGGCAAAAATTTTAGTGAAGAAAAAAACAACAAAAAAAAAAAGAAAAAAGAAAAAAGAGAAGGCAAAAGTTGCTACCTTCCATTAGACCAGCCCATCTGATCATTCCTCCCACGATGCCTGTGGTGATCAGGACTGATGCTACGGCTCATGCTTTGAAGATGATCATCCCATTCCCTGCCCCAGTACCTGTCACCATCATATCTATCCCTACTTCTACTCCAACTTCTCCTCCTATTCTCCCCCTATTCTCCCTATCCCTACATTCATCGTGATACCTGAAAATGTTGTCCATCAGAAACTGAGGTCAGATTTCAGACAAATAAGTCACATTCAGAATCAAAATATTAAGAGAAGGGAAAATAACCCTTCCATAGCTGACACCAAATGTAATCACGCTAAAACTGTCACATACTTTCCAACTAATAATGAGTATTGCACAGATCCTAATGCATCAAAAGCTCAACTAATTCTTGATGTATATGTAATTCAACTTTTCAATTCTCAATGCATTCTCTACATTCATCCCTTCATTTCTTTTGCACCTCCAACAACAGAATTTTAACCAATATGATTAGAATGCAATAACAGGCCCTCTAACACTGACCAAACAACCTGAAAAATGATTAACAGTCTCCTTGTCTCTTAGCTCTTCAAAACACAAATAATGTGAGAACCTCCTTTCTCATTTACAGAGATAGACCCATCAAACATCAAGATATTGCAGTTCTTTACTAGAAAACATCCATAGCTTGACACAACTAGCAAGTCCCTGACACTGTCGTTAGGAGGTAAATATGAAGTCATATAATCTCTTTTACTAGGTCCAAACTTGGAAAAGTTAAGATCAAGATTTTGTATCATTTATCAAAATCCGAAGATATTATATTTTGCTAGATCAAAGGTTCAAAAAGACAAAGTGAATCTCAA